TATATTATATTATATTATATTATATTATATTATATATATTTTTATATATATTATAATATAATATTTATGAAATATAATTATAAAAATATTTATCGATGTAAGAAGCCCTGATCTAACAATATCAATTTTAAAATATTGATATATTATAGTCTATCGCACTTTAATAATGGCACGTAATATTTTTACAATTCTATTATTTAAATTTTTACGTTTGTAAGGATAAAAATGTTCCATCGTCATAGTAATATTAATCGCTCTTGAAAGCGACTGAAAACGACGGTTTAAAACAGAGGTATAATTGTCTCTGTGCAGAATAATACTTTGGTTGAATGTTGAATTCTTTACTGATTACGCTTAAGTAAACGGCAGCGTGTGACGAGTGTGAGTTCAAAGTTCATCGTATGTCAGAGCGATCGTGTTATTAGAGATTTAGAAAGTAATTCTAAACAGCATCTGTTTTTGTGGAGCACTTTCCATAAATTATTCTTTCTATAATTAATAAATAAATGTTCAACTTATTTATCAATAACTCTTTATCTCGACGCATATAAATATTTTTGCTGTACACTTGCCTGTCAAAAGCAAGTGATTTGTCACTTCTCAAAAGAAATTTGTTCAATTTCTACAAAGTACATACGTCAAAATACGAACACATAGCACATAACACATAATCTTGACAGTACAATTTAAATATAAAATTTGCATTTCTCTGAAGGGAATAATAAAACCTCAATCACTTTTCCATATTGTGGACTCCAAGCTCGAAGTTTCTCTATTCAACCGTGTCCTTTGAAAACACTGTCTTTGTTCACTGAACAGATCAATCTGACACAAAACAAATTTGTTTTTCATGTAATTTCCACATTTGATTGAGATTAAGAATAATCACAAGACATTGAATGGACGATAATTCGCATCGAAATCGTCCATTTAACAAACACTGAATGGAATAAATCAATTAAATTCAGTAATTACGAACCGCGTTAACTACATCACATTAATTTTTAATACAAAATCCGTTGTTGAAGAATAAACGATCTTAGTTCCCGTTTTATCTTTCGCGATAAATATGAAAATTCTGCTGGGAGTTTGAGTGCTGCGCAGGAATCGTACTCACCAGAAGCAACGAACAAAGCAACACGGAGCTCTTTCTTAAGAGTGCTAGTCCCAGGAGTTCGACCTTAACTGACTCGACGATGTACTATATTCTACGCTTTTATACTACACGACGCATCATGCTGATGCGTATATGTATACGTGTATATATATATATATATATATATACATACTATACACATGACTGTTAGTGCGCAGAAGGTAAGAGTAAGAACTGTTACAGTTCTCCGATACGTGACTCAGATTCCACTGCGACTGAAAGACTCGCGAGTATTTTGTTCCTGGTTGAGTCTGCATTTTTTTTTAAAACAATGATTCGACAAAGCCGCTAAGCACGTTACTTTAATTTTCTTCTATTTGAATAGTTATCGCGGAATGCTTGAAGAAGGTCTGAATATAATTTTGACCCGCATATGATTAACATTATTGTTCAGAATTTGTTAAAGTTGCGCAATTACTCGCTGACAAATTTAAAATGATTACAGAGAGGAATAAATTTTGCATGTTTTCCATTATATGTATTTACGCGACTATAGTAATTGAGCCATCCAGTTTTTGTTTCATTCTTCCTTCGTGTAAACAGGTGCAAACACGTGTTTTTCAGGTTTAATTTTAGCTAATATAAGCGAACCACTGCCTGTAAAATATCAATTTATTTCAATACATTTATTAAAACATGTCATGTATATATCAATTTTCAAATTATAATTTTTTTTTATTAAAAACGCTTTCATTAAAAGCAGATAGACGTTTAAAAATTTTTAAAAATATTCTTTTACAATCTACTGAAAAATACAGGAAAAAAAGTTCCGCTTCTTCGTAATAAAAGAAATACTAAAAGAGAACATTTCTTCTTCATCATCTCTTGTGCTATCACTTTCTATACGTTTTCTTTCAGTGATTTCTTCAGAATTATCTTTTTTGTTTTAGTTCAATATTTGGAAGTTTGAAAGTTCCATATTTGGAAACAATAACATGGCAAATATTGATTTCATTGAATACACTATACAATAGTATTTATGAAGATAATTATACACTTACCATTTTTAAGATATTTTTAATATAATCGAATTCTTTTAAAAACTTTTCGCAACGTATTTTACAAATATGGTTGTTTACGATGCACATTGATTCAGGAGCGGACAATTTTCACAATATTGGAAATGTATGTTATTTAGTGTGATTTTAGACAAATGAACAAACAAACAAATAATAATAATAATATTCTAAATAGTTTTGCTACTTCTTCAAAGATAAAGTACTGCATTGATGCATAAATTTCATCATACTGTGTTCTCTTTTCAGGAATGTACTATTTGTTTTCATTTTATTTAAAACATCAACCAACTTGCATTAGTATTCTATGTGAACATCTTTCATGAGCACAGTTTCGGTATTTTTAGATATAAAAAGAAAATAGTGCTTCCAATTATCATATTGTCAGATAACAGTAACAGTTACGCTAAAAATATAGAATTCGGCTAATGGGAAGAATTTAGATAGATCCGCGGTAAAATGAAAAGAAGTTTAATGGATATTGTTATAGGCATTGTTTAGAGAAAACGCAATTACAGCGGAACTTCCAGAGCGGTATGATAAAATTAAAAAGTCATAACATGTGATACTAAGATCAGGAAAATACCGTGTCAAATGTAACTTTCCTCGTGACTTGTTTAGTGTTAGTTTAATCCTACGTTCTTGGAATGTATATCCACAAATATAAATATTATGACAGATTGTTTAGTATTCTTTTCAAGCAGCGACACAGCCTCGCAAATTCTGCTTCGCAATTCTAAGGAAACATCAACAAACACCGACGACGTTCCCAGAATATCAACTGCTTCCTTGTTGAATGTCAAAGAGATTGATTATTGCAGTCATTCGTACTGTTTTAAAGGTTTAATTGAAGCTACGTCCGATAAAAATATAAAAATTTTCGTTGTTTTTCGTGTATCCGCAAAAGTAGTACATTGATATCAATATTACCTTTTGCATCAGAGAAAAAGTAGAAACCAAGTCAGAACTTTCTAAAATAACGAAAAAATTAGATAATTTTAAATTCGAGAAATGAACGCCCAATGTTTCATCAAGATTTCATAATAACGCAAATTTTAATGAATTGCAAGGAATTCCAGGAAATAAAAGGTGAATATAAACTAATCTTATCGGTAAGAGTTCTGATAAGAGTCGGAAATAAAACCACAGTTGCTTAGATTCTTCGGATTACTTTTTTATCAACGAATGTATAATATTTCATAATGTTCTTAAGAAGGAGAAATCACAACGATGAATAAGAATTCAGCACACCGAGATACCACAAAAATCGGTACTCCATGTACACTGCATACATACAACAGTCTATAAAATATACAAAATATTTATAAATTTAGTACAGTTACCGGTTCAAAAAACTGTCGACATTTACTTTCCGAATTTTCTAAATGATTGCCACGCATTGTCGACTTCATGATTTATTTTCGACTCGACCATGACGAAGGTGCCAATTATAATGATTGCAGCACTATTATATTAATTTTCTCATTTCTTGAATGTTCTTCCGGAAAGAAAAAAAAGGATATGTCTATTGTTTATATTACATCTTCCCGTTATGATAGTGCTTTTATAACATTATAAAATGTGAGTCTTTTATGAAAATCTTTTATCAACTTTATAATTGATTACGGTTAATGATATCTTTTATTAAATGAAATAAAATTTAATAACTAATATATATTATGAGTATTATTGTAAGTATATATTGTAAGTATCAATTATAGGTATTATTATTAGGTCATTAAGTATGAAACGTCCAATTACCTAAAGCATCAAGTGTGATATCCAATATTTCCGATAATTCACTTCGACCGGCCTTTGTTTTTTTTTTTTAATTGAGAAGTAATACGCCATCTAGCTTTCAGACGCACTCTTTTGTTTTGAATAATCTATCGTATTGTCTTCCAAGGTTTAAATATTGTAAACCATGGATAAGTAAAAAATTCGCGTTATTTTCGAATATGAGTTGCGTCGTGGAACTGATGCAGCGCAGGCAAGTCGAAATGTTAACGAGGTGTTCGATGTGGCTAATGAACGTACAGTACGTCGATGGTTCGAAAAATTCTGATCTGGAGATTTTGATATCTAAAATGAACCACGCGGGCGACCTGAGAGCAAGGTGGATGACGATCAACTGAAAGCTGTAGTGGAAGCGAAACCATTTGAAACGACAGGTGAATTAGTAGCAAGGTTTGGAGTTACCATTTCAACAATATTGTTGCGAATTACTCCATTTCTCTCGCGTCGCGGCATTTTANTAATAACTAATATATATTATGAGTATTATTGTAAGTATATATTGTAAGTATCAATTATAGGTATTATTATTAGGTCATTAAGTATGAAACGTCCAATTACCTAAAGCATCAAGTGTGATATCCAATATTTCCGATAATTCACTTCGACCGGCCTTTGTTTTTTTTTTTTAATTGAGAAGTAATACGCCATCTAGCTTTCAGACGCACTCTTTTGTTTTGAATAATCTATCGTATTGTCTTCCAAGGTTTAAATATTGTAAACCATGGATAAGTAAAAAATTCGCGTTATTTTCGAATATGAGTTGCGTCGTGGAACTGATGCAGCGCAGGCAAGTCGAAATGTTAACGAGGTGTTCGATGTGGCTAATGAACGTACAGTACGTCGATGGTTCGAAAAATTCTGATCTGGAGATTTTGATATCTAAAATGAACCACGCGGGCGACCTGAGAGCAAGGTGGATGACGATCAACTGAAAGCTGTAGTGGAAGCGAAACCATTTGAAACGACAGGTGAATTAGTAGCAAGGTTTGGAGTTACCATTTCAACAATATTGTTGCGAATTACTCCATTTCTCTCGCGTCGCGGCATTTTATATATTTACAATAAAGAATATTAACTATAACACAACTCGATACAATTGTATCTTAGATTTTTCAATTTGAAATGTTGCTCGTTCGACGGTCCGATCTCGACTCTTCGATTGTCCGTTGGTAACACTCTTCCGTGGCAACCCCTATCTTCTATTATTCTTTAAGGAGTTGTTCACAACAGGGCAGTTTCATATTACAGCGACTTGATTTGGACAAGTCGCCGTAACAATATTAAGCCATTTGAAAGCAATTGGAAAAATGTAAAGAAGCTGGATAAGTGGGTTTCACATGAGTTAAGCGACCGTCAGCAAAGGAACTGCTTCGAGGCTGCAGGACAACGCTCGACCACACGTTGCAAGATCCACGTTACTGAAACTACAGGAGCTGGACCAAGAAACACTTTGTCACCCACCGTATTCGTCAGATCTCGCACCAACTGATTACCATTTTTTCCGGGCTTCGGACATTTTTTTGCGAGGAAAAATATTTAATTCCCAACGTGCAGTGGAAAATGCCTTTCGCGATTTTATCACCGGCTGCCCTCCAGATTTTTTCGCTAGCGGTGTTAATAAACTATCGTCAAAATGGCAAAGTTGCATTGATAGTTTCGGCGCATGTTTTGATTAATTATTTTACTTCTTGCCCGAGATATAATAAAGCAAACTTTCAGTCTCAAATCGGACATTTCATACGAAGCACGACGCCGAGGTGTTCTCTTAATCGCGATTGTGGGAGGTGTTAGTAAAACTGATATTATACAGTTTTAACCATAGGCAGTTATTTAATAGAAATATGTGAGCCGATTATTTTGAAAGTGGCATAAGTCACTTTTTCAAAAAAATCGAGTTAATGGTAACACTAATTACACTTGAACGGTATCTTTTCATTTTTAAAAAATTTGCAATCAATAAGTTGAGAACTATTGAGATTTGTTCGAGGGAAGTTTTGCTAATTAACGGTATAACAAACATGTTTATTTTGAAAGTGACGTAAGTTGCTGTACTCAGGAAATTAATTGCGGGGCTTAGTGTAAAAGAAATAGAAACGTGTGATAAGTGTGTGTGTGAAGTATTGTTTTGAATTATTTTCAGTATTTTTAAAAAACTTGTGATCACTGGACTTATTTTTATAAGTGCAAAAGAATAGTGCCGTTTTGTAAATTATATTATAGTGATGTGGCGGCTACCTCCAGGCCCACCTTTTTTTTTTCTTAAGTAAATACAGATCAAAACGAAGTTAATTGGCTGAAAATTCAATGGATACGATTTTACCATGATATTCGCTATAAAATGTTTTATAAACTAACTTGAGATGAAAAAGATGAATTTCTAACTTTGGATTTGTCACCAAAAAGAGGAAGACCTAGGCGTTATTCGCAAATAGAAATGGATCCGTTATACGCTGGATCCCGTCCTGTTTCTTCAGCAAAAGATTATACAAAGACATGATGGACTTGGTTAATTATATATCCCCAATATACCACAGTTATTTAAAAAATTTGAAACAAAACACGATTTCCGAGGACTTAATTACTCCTATTGATGACTAAAATTAAATTGAACTGATGTATTTTCATATAAATTACTTATACTTATGTTTCAAAATGTACTAATTATTTTTGTATTTTATGAATATTAAAATAAAAAATACTTAAATCAAACCTTTATATTAAATATGTTCATAGTATAAATTATTATTTTACATGTAATTTATTCAACAATTTTAGTAAGTCACTGTCCTTTCAAAACATCACTTCAGTAAAATACGTCGGACAAAATTAATACATGTCAGTCATTTTACTAAACTATTTATTTTGAAAGTGGCTTAAGTCATTTTATCGTAATGAAGTGGTGATTTTTTAATGTTTCACAATATGTGAAACTAAACTAATTGTCACAATATGTTTTGTTATTTTATTTTTGCAAGTTTATGTTGCAACTGAAGATACATATCAAGGTATGTAATCCAGTCTTTGAGTTTATTTATTAATATTGCGAAGAGATTGATTAATCAGATATTGAATATTATAATTCACACTTGCAGGGCTCCTTATTAATAAAAGAAAACTAAATAGAAAAAAGCAAGTACGATAAATGGAGAAAGAAACAAAATCAGAAATCTTCTCCAAAATAATTTAAAATAATTCTAAACTTTCCTACTAGAGAGCAGAAAATCTGTAGTGCGTAGAAATGCGTTAAAGTGCGAACTGTAATAGAGGCTATTATTGGCGACTTTTGGCGATATATTGGGTTGGCAGAAAAGTAATTTCATTATTTCAATGTGAAATCAAACACAATTTTTTCTATACAAGAAATGAACTTTAATCAGTCAAATATTTTCCATTCTGGTCAATGATCTTTTGCCATCTTACTGGTAATTTTATGATTCTGTGCTCATAAAACTCAATCAAATGCGATTTGATGCTATCGTTATTATCAAAATTTTTACCATTTAAAAAGCTTTGTAAACTTCGAAATAAATGATAATCCGTTGGTGCAAGGTCGTGGCTATATGGAGGATGCGACATCACTTCCCAACGAAGCTCCAATAATTTTATACGTGTTGCTAAAAATGTATGAAGCTTCGCATTGTCGTGGTATAACACGATCCCATTGCGATTTTCCAATTCCGGCCTTTTCACTTTGATTGCTTCCTCCAATTTCATAAGTTGTTTGCAATAAACATCTGAGTTGACTGTTTGGTTTCTTGGTAGCAGCTCAAAATACACAACGCCTTTATAGTCCCACCAAATTGACAGCATGATCTTTTTTTGATGCAATTCAGCTTTCGGTATGGTTTGTGCTAGTTCATCACGCTTGGACCATGACTTTTTCAATTAATGTTATTGTAAACGATCCATTTTTCATCACCAGTGATAATTCGTTTCAAAAAAGGGTTGATTGCATTACGTTTAAAATGCGTGTCGCAAATACTGATTCGTTGAGTTAAGTGAATTTCTTTCAATTCATGCGAAATCCAAACATCGAACTTCTTAACGAGTCGAAAACATCTTATGTGATATTCAGTTGTAGTGTGTGATGCATTTAATCTTTTTACAATCTCTCGTACAGTTATATGACGATTCGATTAAATTATGGCTTTGATTTTGTCATCATCAACTTCAGAAGGTTGACCAGAACGTTGGTCATCTTTAAGTGATAACCTTTAGAACGAAATTTTATGAACCAATTCTGACACGTGTGTTCCGTTAAGCAATCGACGCCATAAACTTTGCATATCTCTTTGCGAGCCTTGGCCGCTTTCTAGCATTTATGAACATAAAAAAGTAAAATGTGTCGGAAATGTTCATTTTTGCACTCTATGTTAAAATTGACAGAAAATTATCAGTTGTAAACAAAACTACGTGGAATTTGTTTCTATACTAACCTAAACGTATCAACTACCAAAGCTGAAGGCAAAAAAGTTATAACCTTAACAAAAGTATGACAACGCAAATATAACACTATCTATTGGTGCAAACTGAAATTACTTTCTTGCCAATCCAATAATTTATATTCTATGGCAATTATATAGGGTGTTCCCCGGTTAAATCGCCAATCTTCAGGAATAAATTTAAGACTCTAAAACAAACAAATTTTTCTTCTGGTAGTATGCTCGCAAATGCTTTCTTTCTTCGAGAGATATTTACTATTGTAGTTGTAGGACTTAGTAACGTATGTCATCGGAATAATTCAGGTTTACCGCGTAAATTGCAAAAGAAAATTATTGCATTTATTATAAAAATAATTATAAAAATAATTGTAATTATTTCATATGTTACAGATAAACGTTAAATCTGTGAATAACAGATGAAGTGGTTGACTGACACTGTACACCTACTGTATCGTTAGACGCTTGCGCTATCCTAAATTTTAATGTTTGAGTGTCGTCAACAGGTACTCAGGGTGAATAATAGGTGCTCGGTTCGCAGTGCAAACAGCAACACAGTAATAACTGTCGATCTTGGAAACACGGATATTTCATTTATCCGTTCTTAACTCTCTTTCGATAACTTTAGAAGTAGATACAGTAAATTCTTCCTAATTGACGCTCAGCTTGGAAACAAACATGGACGATTTGGGAAGAGAAAACTCGATTATTCGAACCTCGAGTCTCGTTTTTATAGTTGTTGGCAATCGGTAACTATTAAAACGAGCCGCAAGGATCGATTAATCGCACCTCCTCTTCCCGAATTGTCCATTTTTGTATCGAAGTTGTGCGTCAATTACGGAGAATTTATTGTATCTCTTGAAGAAAGCATTTGCGAGTATATTTCCAGAGGAAAAATTGGTTTGTTTTAGAATGTTAAATTTATACCCAAAGTTTGCCGATGTAACCAGGAAACACGCTGTATATTGGAAAGGTCTGGCAACACTGGGCCCATTTGAATACTAACTCCAACTCTTACACCACTCTGGGCCACAGCTTGCTATGCAGTCGATGATGGGGACAGAAGCGCTTGTTTATTGTGGCACCGCAACAGCCGAACATTGGCTGCTATTCGCCATGATTGGCTGCCGGTCCGCGTAGCCAATCCCAATATAGGTGTTGTTATATGGTTTATTATTAGAACACGTTTTAAAGACATTATAAGTATTATTAACTAAAAAAATTACTTTAAATAGTTATAAAATAAATATTTTTTTATAAATTAAAATTTTTAGAACTGTTTGACAAATAACAATGTTCACAGAAACTAGCGTTGCATTGCATTGGATCGTGTAGCCAATCCCAATATAGGTGTTGTTATATGGTTTATTATTAGAACACGTTTTAAAGACATTATAAGTATTATTAACTAAAAAAATTACTTTAAATAGTTATAAAATAAATATTTTTTTATAAATTAAAATTTTTAGAACTGTTTGACAAATAACAATGTTCACAGAAACTAGCATTGCATTGCATTGGATCGCGTAGCCAATCCCAATATAAGTGTTGTTACATGGTTTATTATCAGAACACGTTTTAAAGACATTATAAGTATTATTAAATACAAAATTATTTTAAATAATTATAAAATAAATATTTTTTTATAAATTAAAATGTTTAGAACTGTTTGACAAATAACAATATTCACAGAAACTATCATTGCATTGCATTGGATCGGATTGATTATTATCAATTATTCATGGTCATAGATATACAACATACATCGATGAACAGAAAATTAACAAATATGATCTTCTTAAACACCTATGAAACCATGCCGCTGTCAATATCGAAATCAACAGAGCGCAAAAAGTAACTAGACCCCTCGAAGTTCGTTTACGCAAGGAAAACACACGAAAAAGTAAAGTAGAGTTTGCATTAAACTATCGGCGAAAGCGCGGCTCTCCTTGTGTTTTTAACTGAAATACCTACGCGAACCATAAATCCGCAATACGTTTCCCGGGAATGTAATACTACAATTACCAATAATACAGTTGAGAGGTAGATCGATAAAGTAAAATATTCCATTAACCGGCGTTAGATTTTTCTATTTTACACTCATGGGCTTGTACGGCTCTCTCTCTCTCTCTCTCGCTCTCTTTCTCTCTCTCTCTCTCTCTCTCTCTCTCTCGGACTTCATTTCAGCGCCGGCATATTAACGTTCGAATATAATTTTACAATTTTATTGGCGATATGCAGGTTTGCTTTTTTCGGCCAAAAAAGCGGGCTCTATTAAATTACAGAAGCTACAGTATGTTCTGGGTCTGGCGTTTAATTTTGCAGAATAATGCCTTTGGGACGCGTATCACCGGCGAATACCAGGAAAAGTCGAAACCTACCCTCTCCGCGCCCCTCATCGGTCTCCTCTACCACCGCCACCTCCTCCTCTCCGTCAATTATAATTCGTACCAATTATACTGTAAACTGTGCAACAATTCAAAAGAGACATCCACCACGAACATTCTTTTCCCATTCGACGATATGAAAATGTCAGCGGCCACTTTTTGCTTTCTGCATCGATATTTCATTGACTGTGTATTGCAGGCTTTATGCGTTCCATTGATCTAAACGACAAAGCCGCCCTTGTTCTTTAATTCGTTTAATAGGAAACAACAGAGAAGAAAACCGAATCATCCGGTAATATTGCCCCTTTTTTCCGTAGACGGCGGGCAAGTGGAAGCGCGGCTCGCACTTCTTTTTTCGGTTTTGCGTCGATGGGTTTCACTGTGCCATCGAACTATACAGTCGATCGCTTCCTCATGCAGGGTTTCAACAATGAAAGAACCCAACTATTTTGTAACCCCATGCAATTTTTTGCCTATAATACGATTCCATTACTGTGCCCGGTTTCGATCGATTCAATCGAACTGTTCGTTAAACAGTAAGACTTCAGCGAAAAGAAGAAAGTTCGCGGCACTCGAAGCCACTCGACATTTACAATATCATTGTACGGGCGGATTTAAACGTTCGAGTCGTGTAACGTTACAGTTTGGAAATGAAATAATATCGTATGTAGTCGGCTCGATGAAATTGCAATATAATATTCCGCGCAGAATATGTCGCTTATGTTACGAATAATTATTCTTTAATGGGTTGTTTATTGCGAAATGTACTCATTTCGTTGTAAGCAGACTGCAGATCGTGGAAGAATTTCTGTGTCAGGTACAAAGAGTTGGACCCAGATAAAATTTATTTCCAGTCCATTGTAATGGTGTTCTTAAAATCTTTTGGTATTTTGGTATGTTTTTACTGCTTAAATCTGTAGCCTACTTACAAAATATTGCATTCACTCATTCAATGTGTCAGGGTTATTAATACAGCTGCATATTATCAGAATAGCATTAGAAGTGATCCATGCGAGTGCTCAGTTTCGTGGGAAGTTTGGAGGATATGGTCCAGGTCCAATTGGTCTCTGATCTTGTCCCGGTATAATGGGTCCAGTTATTGGGACACATTTTGCCCGATATGTTGAACAGGCAAGATATCGGCAACAGTCATCGTATGTATAACACTAAAATATCATTTAGATATATCATTATTTATATAAATAAATACATTCTTTTGAGAAACATATTATGTTTGTTTATGAGAAGATTGTGGATCTTTATGCAGAAGAAAAACGTCCTGCACCAATTAAGGGAAACAGGAGCCAGAGAAACATACAGTTTTTAATACTTGTGACGAGCAGAAAATATTATAGTATGTGGATGTTCGTCAATTATTTTAATGGTTCCATTGCGTAACATTGCAAATACTCGTTATTTTCATGAATTCCCAAATGTCGCATTCTTTTTACGAATGTATTCAATATTATGTCAATAAACTCACTATCCCAAGCCATGGGCTGCATGTTGCTGTGTCGGTGGTGAAAGTGTTCTGACAGAAACTGACACAAGCAGTAATTGCGACGATCGCGCACAGCAACAGAAATTTCATTGTAGCGAACTGTCTTGGAGGCTGTGAACACCATTGAAAGAATTATCTAGACGTTCAAGTGGAATTTCCAAAGAGAAGAGTCTCTGGGACAGTGTTAACTTAAGAAGAAAATTGAAACAAGTTTTATTTATTTAGAGGGCCGCACAAGTTTATATATTGAGGCCAACGAACAATGACTGCATAGCAAAAACAACCATATCTTCGCTGTAAATTAGAAACACTGTGAACGTGAAACAAATCAGAAGTATACGCTGTAAATGATCTTCGAAGTAATACTAACTTTGCAAGGTACTTACGTACGCTAAGAAACGAACACTCCACATCCAACAACCGTCAGTCGGTACTGACCTGCAAATGGGAATTTCCCGATATTTATAACTGCTGATTAAACAGGTTTGTAGACATTTGTATGCACACCTTATCGTAGGATTGCATTACGCCGTGGATACAGAGTTTATAATCAAGACAACAATTCCTTTCAAACCAACAATTCTCTAAATGGCATTATTTCTGTTTTGCATACACTTTTGTTTGCGCAATAAACATGTAACACAAAAAAAATGCATTTCAGTGCAAAATGATACATTTCACAAAGTAATTTTGAGGTCTTGTAGCTTTTTAATTTAATTGTTTGGTTTTAATTAATTATAGCGAACGATGATTTGTTGAAGAATGTAGTTCTTAAAAAAAGATGTTCCTCAATCATTTTTAATAGCGTACACAAGGTTCTTTTGAATGCTTGAATTATTTTTTAGTCCTAAATTACAGGTGTTAATTTTGATCGTAGTTGCATAAAATTAGCAGTTCCGTAATCATATCTGAAATGAGGATGCAGAGCGACGTTCATATAAAATATTTTTCAGCAATTATATCGGTTTCACGCGGATTAGTTAGCAATAAATAGAGCTTATGTTTAATTAAAGAACTTCGATCGCTGTGTAAAGGTGTCGAGTAATATTTATCCATTCAAATAGTAATTATTAATTAATATTGTATTTTATTGGAAAACATGGTTTTCTGTGGGCGCTCTTTCACTTTCCCGTTCGTTAATGTGGCTAATTATTTTATATACATTTCAATTCATAAAATCCTGTATATGTTTTAATCTCATAACATGTACGCCTGCATACGCGCGCTCTTTAGAGAAGTAATCGGCGCAGTTATCAATAAATTAATGCAATTCGGTTTGATCAGCGGATGACAAATTTTCATAGCAGCAATTACGCATTCGCTTCGATTATGACAGAAAAACGTCATCGCTCTTCTGAATATCGGAATTTCGAAGTTCAACTTTTCTACTTCGGTAATTAACGAAGGTAAATATGCTCTCAACGGATGAAAGATTAATATCAATGAACGAATGATATATGTGATTTTTTAATCACGTACTGAATACATATTTATAACGATACCATAAATAGTATCAACGATTACTCCTGCACAAGAAAAAAGAGGAAATCAGAACTTCCTCAAACAATTTAAAAATTGTATAACTTAAAATTCGAAAAATAAACGCCAAATGTTTCATCAAGATTTTATAATAATGCGAATTTTCATGAATTGCAAGTAGGTCCAAAAAATAAAAGGTAAGTATAAATTAATCTTTTCGATAAGAGCTCTGATAAGTTGAAAATAAAATTATTATTTTATTATTTATTATTATTATTTTATTATGATTATTTTATTCACAAATGTATAATATTTCATAGCGTTTTTAGGAAGTATAAAACCCAACGACGAAAAAGAATTGAGCATACACAGATACCGCAGCAATCGGAATCCAATGAACACTGCATATATACAACAGTCGATAAAATAGATAAAATATTTATAAATTTAATACACTTACCGGTTCGAAAATTTGTCGACATTCACGTTCCGCATTTCCGTAATGGTTGCCTCGCATGTTGGGTGGATGACTCATTTTCGACTCGACCATGGCAAAGGTGTCAATTATAATGATCGCAATAAGAACTATTAACTTCCTCATTGCTTAAATGTTCTTCTGGAAAGAGAAAAACGGCATGTCTATTCCATATATTGTATTTTCCTCTTACGATAGTGGTTATGTAACATTTAAAAATGTTAAAGTACTTCACAAAAATCATTCATTAACTTTATAAACGACTACGATTAATTATATCTTTTATTAAATGAAATAAAAATTAATCATTAATATACTTACAAGTATTGTTGGATCACATAGTTGCGTGTGGATTTTTCAATTCGATCATTTTTTCCTAAAAAAGAAAATAATTTTCTTTAATAAAAAAAATAGCAGTTGGAGAAACTATGACAAACGACAGGTCTACGGTCACCACCAACTCGTATTAGTGTGACGAGCAGCGACGAGCAACATGTTGTCTACACAATTTCCTTCGAGAAGAAAAATCAGTAAAACGTGATTAGAATATTTTTCGGTGCTCTGCTTGTCGCTGCTTTGCTCGTCGCTGCTCGGCTCTGTGCGTCGAGCTAGAGCACGAGTGCCTTCAGTCGTGAGAGATAGAGTTAGAATTGAAAATTCGTCACAATTTTAATTAGAAACCAGCTATGACGAAAGTTTTAAGCGAAATAGAGTAAAACGCAGCAGCGCAAAACACATAAGGTACTTACTTGTTATATAATATTTAGTCAGAGGAAAGGGTACGTGTATGTTGACTGGAGCACGGTACGTTAAGAAGTGATCTCGGTCGTTGCGGTTACGACAAAGAGTAAGGCGAATGATTATCAGTCACCACGTAGAGCACATTATGCAGGAAACGTATACTTGGCCCAATTTGGCATCATTCAGTAATGTGTCCATTCAGGGATAGTAGGCCCAGGCTCTCCCAGCCGCATCGCAGCAACAGAACATCACACCGCTCTTGGTGATTTAAACAGTCGCACTGTGCGTTCGGGACAAAAATCATAACTTCTAAGCTAATCAGTTTTCGATCAAAATATGTCAATAATTGGTCAAGGAAAATGCAAAGATGCATCGATTTGCATAACAAAAATTACATGATTTCATAAAAAAAATTCTTACTTATTTTCTATTGAATAATCAAATCTCATGTTTCTATAAGTGAACGTCCAAGCTGTTGACCGGTTTGTTCTACATATTTTGTTAAATAACTCTGAAGATCACAACTTTTCGTAAGACAAGTATTTATAGTATTAAAATGTACTACTGTCTGACGAATACAGTGGTGTGAATAATTACAGGCTCGAAGTAACTTATACACTTTCAGCGGTATTTAAACAAAATCGTAGCGATATATCATATTTGTATATTTCCATTTTCTATTATTTCTAATATAGAAATATACAAATACAGTTTTTCTCTTGGTTTTTGTTTAAATATCTATAAAAATGTACAAGTTACTTTGAGTTTATAATTACTCACAAGCACTATAGGTGGTCTTCTTTGGCCAAGTCAACCTGTATATTTAAAAAGAACGTAACAAAATATCATATTTTGTATATTTCTATATTAGAAATAATAGAAAATAGAAATATACAAATATAATATTTTGTTTAGTTTTCGTTTAAATGTCAGTAACAATGCGAAGGCTACTTTGAGTCTATAATTATGCATACCACTGTATGTCGGAATAAGAATCCGAGAATAGTTTGAGCCCTTTTTTAACATAATCTACAGTGTAGGGCAGGGATAAGTCAGGTTGGCAGGTTTAGGTCATGGTTAAATCAAAGTTATGTACAGGGTTATGTTTATTTCAGGGTTAGGTCAAGGTTATGTTTATTGTCAGGATTAGGTGAAGCTTATGTTTATTGTCGGGGCTAGGTTATAGTTATGTTTATTGTCGGGGTTAGGTTATAGTTCTGTCAAATTTTCAGTATATTTCGAGCCATTTTTTAAAAAGCTTCTCTAAAGCGTAGGTCAGGGTCAGGTATGTTTGGCAGGGTTATCCGTACAAAAAGAAGAAAACAAGTCAGAACTTTCTAAAATAATTCAAAACTTAGATAATTTGAAATTCGAAAAATGAACGCCCAATGTTTCATCAAGATTTCATAATAACGCAAAATTTTAATGAATTGCAAGTAGTTCCAGGAAATAAAAGGTAAATATAAATTAATCTTTTCGGTAAGAGTTCTGATAAGTTGAAAATAATACCACAGCTGTTTCGATTCTTCGGATTATTTTATTCTCGAACGTATAATGTATGAACGCTATATAATGTACTATATAATGTATAATGTGTCACGAATGTTTTTCATATTGCTCATAAGATGCACGTATACAGAGACCACAACAATCGATACTCCATGTACACTGGATACATACAACAGTCGATAAAATGTACAAAATAATTATAAATTTAGTACACTTACCGGTTTAAGAAATTGTTTACGTTTAGTGTCCGAATTTTGTGAATGATTTATTTTCAACTTGACCATGACGAAGCTGCCAATTATAATGATTTTAGCAGAAACTGTTAACTTTCTCATTGCCTGAGTGTTCTTCTGGAAAGAAAAAGTATTGTCCATTGTACATATTACATTTTTCTCTAATGATAGTACTTAGAAGAAAACCTTCTACAGTTAGTCTTTCTAACATATCTGTATAAACGTCTATCTGGAGCTCATCTTTACTACTACTTGTGTCATGAGACTCATTCGCGTTTGAACGTTTTGCCATTGTTCTAATAAAAAATATGAGTAAATACATAGGTTGAAAATTTCTAATTGTTATTACTAACTCACAAGATGATATTTACCAAAAAAACTTTTACCAAACAATTTATTTACCAAGAGAAGAATCACTTTTCCGATTTTCTCACTCGTTAGATCTATCTATACCACTGGACGCTTCAAACCAAACTGAGTTCAGCTTTGAAAATCTTTTCCTCAAGATTTTATGATTATAAATCTCACTATACAGTGCGTGTTATGTTCGCATACCGACCTTTCTTCTACAAACTTGCCTTATCGCTCTTTTCAAATGGCGCCTTTAAAGCGCTCGGACCGTCGTGAGCACGCCTGTCACGTTCTCGTCAAAACCCGCTGACATTTCTTGTATATATCTTAGTATTTTTACTAGTATTTTGATTTGATTTCTTGTGCCATTTCGAGAGAAAACTTCAGGGAAACATGCATGTCTGAAAAAGTTGCGCTGAAATAACTCAATTCCTCGTAATCACTAATAAACTTTAATGTCCCACGAGAAGGGACATCCGAGTGATATGCTAGAATTACGATATCCCACGAGAGGGGACAGCGGAGTGCAAAGGGTTAAGTGAAATAGAGAAAAACGCAGTAGCCCCAAACGCATAAGGTATACTTACTTGTAATGTAGTATTTAGTCAAAGGGAAGGGTACGTTGAAAAGGGTATGTTGACTCCAGCACGGTACGTTAAGAAGTGTTATCGGCCGCTGCGGTTAGGACGAAGAGTCAGCAAGGCGAATGATTATATCACCACGTACAGTAGCGGACATATATGTATTTAACACTAAACCTACCGCGGTCAAAGTGATCGCTTTCTTATTTTGCAATTCTGCAAAGTTCTGAGACTCTTTCGTGGAGAACGTTTGAATAAGTTATATTATTGGAGCAAGTCTTATAATAAAAACTTTACAAATTCCAAATAAATTCGGTCTTCTCACTTTTGTGAAGCGGTACATGCCAGTTAGTATTACTGCTTGGTAGGTTTAGTGTTAAGACCACTTGAAAAACGGTATAACTTTTTTTATAATTGGACTTAATGACTTGAATTTTTTTAGATAATAGAGGGCTCAGTCTACTAGACAATGACTGTAATACTTTTTTCAAATTTTGCTATTACTTGGAATGAGAGAAGAAGTAAAAAACTCATGTCTACTTGGCAGGGTAAAGTTAGGTTGGCAGGTTTAAGTCAGATTATAATAAACGCCATTTCATTCACCATAAAGTACGCTATGGTTCGTGTAAATAAAATTTATTCATATGGTCTTGTTACGGACTTAAAGTATACAAATAAGGAGTATACATTTGAGTAATAATTATTTATGTTATTGCATTGGTTTGTCTTAATTTAACCATATACGTAGTTGCATGTATAATGTCGCAAATTTTTTTATTTATACAGTAACTGACCATATTTTTTGTTTCTATAAGTGAACGTCCGCGTACCAATTTCTTGACCGGTTATGATCACATAGTTTGTTAAAAAGTTTTTACAGTATCAAAATGTACCATCTGATGGATATGTATGTCGTAATGTGAATCCCAGAATATTTTGAGCGGATATTTTCGTAAACCTTATCTAAAATGTAGGAAAATAATTCTAATTTAATTATTTCATTTCGTGTTAATTATTATATTGCATATAAGCATTACAAAATTTCTATCGATTAATTACAATCATGTAACCCCTGACCATTATTTCCTATAAAGATTACATTGTAAGGTGGCCTTATGTTCATAAGGTAATGTAAACAATCTACGTTGTGAACTAACGTGCTATTTGATCCTTCTAATATTCGATCGGCGAACTCATTTGAAATTAATCTACAGGGTGTTCCACAATTATTTTAACAGCCGAAAATGAGGGGTAGCTGAGGTCATTTGAAGTAACTTTTTCCTTTGCGAAATTGCAATCTGCGGCTTTGTTTACGAGTTATTAACGGAAAACACTGACCAATGAGAGGTGATGGCGCCAAGTTCCAGAGCCCGCAGCACGAGGCTTTGACAGATGGTCGGGACGGATGGTCGAGCCACGTTCGAAGTATCGAACAAATCACGAAGCGAGAACTTTCCGGAATTTTTTTTACTACGTAACAGTGATATTTTTAAGAAAAACGCTGTTCACCTTTACTTTAGAACGTCTGAAGAATATTTACTAATTTTTCGGACCCGAAATAATAAGTAATTTAACCGTGACGGCCGTTTTAATTTTCTAGTGTGCATGACACCTTGTGTGTAACATATGAAATTTTTAAGCAAGGTGTACAGTGAAGATTAACAAAGTACGTAAATGATATTTTAATTTAAATAATTCCGTGTCCGAACACAGTTCAACGAATGATTCGCAAAGCTAATTTAATAAATAATAATCGTGTTAAAGGACGTAAGGGATATGTTTGTTAGAGAAATATGAAGAATATTATCAATAAGAAACTCACCCATTTAGTTGTAAAATCCACTTCATGTATCCGACGGCGACGAACAGAAGGATGTCTCCGGGCAGGCAATTTCAACGTTTACTTTCACTGCATTATCACTAAACACTGATCACTTATCAATAATATTTATGGACCAACTTTCCTGGGTTAATATGTATGGCCCTGAAAAGAGCCGATTGTTTTATGCGACGCGTTCGAAGTTCATATCGTTAAGAACACATACCGCGTTGACGGGATAAACTGCGGAAGACTAGCACGATGGCTGACAATGTTCGCGTTCGATGAAAAACAGTTGAAATTCGCTCGTAGGAGAACGAAACACAGTCGGCCATCGTGCCAGTCTTCTGCAGTTCATCTCGACAACGCGGTACATACGTGTCGATAACAGTGAGAACTTCGAACGCGTCGCATAAAAAAATCGGCTCTTTTCAGAGCTATACATATTAACCCAGGAAAGTTGGTCCATAAATATTATTGATAAGTGATCAGTGTTTAGTAATAATGCAGTGAAAGTAAACGTTGAAATTGCCTGCCCGGAGATATCCTTCTGTTCGTCGCCGTCGGATACAGATCAGCTGTGCAGTTCATCATACATTGTACGAGGTCAATGCACTATCCTCCTGCACACATTTCCGTGCATGAAGTGGATTTTACAACTAAATGGGTGAGTTTCTTATTGATAATATTCTTCATATTTCTCTAACAAACATATCCCTTACGTCCTTTAACACGATTATTATTTATTAAATTAGCTTTGCGAATCATTCGTTGAACTGTGTTCGGACACGGAATTATTTAAATTAAAATATCATTTACGTACTTTGTTAACCTTCACTGTAAACCTTGCTTAAAAATTTCATATGTTGACCTTGACATAACTTTGACATAACCTTGATATGTCCTTGAGATAACCTTGATATGTCCTTGATATGTCAAGGTTACACACAAGGTGTCATGCACACTAGAAAATTAAAACGGCCGTCACGGTTAAATTACTTACTATTTCGGGTCCGAAAAATTAGTAAATATTCCTCAGACGTTCTAAAGTAAAGGTGAACAGCGTTTTTCTTAAAAATATCACTGTTACGTAGTACAAAAAAATCCGGAAAGTTCTCGCTTCGTGATTTGTTCGATACTTCGAACGCGGCTCGAGTCCGTTCCGACCATCTGTCAAAGCCTCGTGCTGCGGGCTCTCGAACTTCGCGCCATCACCTCTCATTGGTCAGTGTTTTCCGTTAATAACTCGTAAACAAAGCCGCAGATTGCAATTTCGCAAAGGAAAAAGTTACTTCAAATGACCTCAGCTACCCCTCATTTTCGGCTGTTAAAATAATTGTGGAACACCCTGTATATTGCTAAATATGATTATTTAGACATTTTAACACATTGTACACTTATTTTTCAATAGATAAGAAGTCGTGACTTCCATTGACGGTCGCACTGTGTATTCGTGCCGAAACCGACTACGACTCGCCACAATTAGCTCCCAAAATATAAGTATTGTTATAAGTATTATTACAAGTACATGTTACAAGTATATTATAAGCGTTATTAAATAAGGCAATCTTAAACACTGCAGAGTTGAATTGAAATTTTTAAAATTATTTGACAAAAAACAACATTCACAGAGATCAGCATAGCATTGCATTGAATCAAATTGATTATTATCAATTATCCATTGTCACAGATACAATATATCATTCTCCAGAAAATTGACAGATATGATCTTTTTATCGACCTATCATGTATTTATAGCTGAGTTAATACAAGTGTTAAGCTAGTAAATATATAGACAAACACAGAATTAGCACACCATGTTTGCATGATAGATAACCGTCCTATTGGTAACTGGAGTAAGAAGAAATACTAATAAGAAAACGTTGGAACAATGAGATTAATAAAATGAATGTCAATGAAATCTCTTTGAGATATTTATAGCTCAATCAACCGATTTCCAAATAGAGATTTGGATGCATTTATTCTCACATAGCAAAACCTATGCTTTATATTAGACCTAAAAGACAGTACACACAATCTAAAAATAAATGTTATATTTCAGGAACATTTCAATCTCATAATCGAAAAACTAATTCTCCTCTCTTGCTCTAATATTGATGGAGTCAATTTTTATTAAATATTTTTAGATCCCTTCGATTACTTCAACTATTATACTGAAAAATTCTAATAAGAGTAGCCGGAAATCAATTCTTGACAAATTATTACGGTCCATATTTATTAATTAGCTAATTCATTAATATTCATTGGCGTAAAGGAGGAAGAAGGAAACAAAAGCACAAAGTGAGATACATTTTTTCAATTGCGTATTATAATTGCTTTGATAATATTGTGTATATGTTGTACATTTATAAGCAAGTTCTAAAAATTCGTAGGCCTACGAAGTACAGTCCCAGTTTGTCGATTAATCATTTGTTCACATCTGGCCGTCAACAATTGGTGCAGGCGGATTACTCGGTTTGTTTGTTGCAGATGGAGGAGCCTGAGGTTTGGTACATCGTCCAGCCCACGGGTTGCATACTAACGGTGCACAGCAGTCCTTGTCTTCGTTGCACTGTGAAAGAAAGGTGCATTATTTCATAACTAGTATTGTTCTCATCGAGTACTACAGAGTCAAAAATGCAATAAATTCATTCGTGAAAAAAATTCAATCTTGTGACACACGATTCTAATATATTGAATTATCAAATTTTAATAAATTATATGTATAGCGAGATGGGGGGGGTCTGAATTAAGATTTTCTATTTACACTTTTATCATTTTATTTTGTATAAATCAGAGAAGACGTCGAAAGAAATGAATGAATATGGCAAATAATTTTATCACTTGGCGTTATGGATGGTTGTATTTAAGCCATCTTTTATCGAGGATTTGATATTGTAGAAATATATTTACACGGTACTAGTGTATCATCCGATTCGTATATCTGTTCATTGTTTACTGTTTGCAATTTTATTATTGTTCGTAGACATTGACAATGTCTCGATGCTATTTGCTTGCCACAGTAATTTGATATGGATTGACAGTTAGGAGATAACAAAATCAGTGGAATACGATCGATATTGTACCATCAGCGGTGTTTGTTGCAATTACTAGATGTGATGAGTGATAGACGGGTAGAAAATATTAGATTTATGAGCAAACAGATTTTCCGGAGAATTTTTCAAAATTGAATTTTTCCTACATCTCTAATCGAAGTAACAATAGTAGTTTACACGTGATATTTGACATTTGCAGGATAATCAAATGTACGAACTTACAATTGAACCTTTATTATCCGAGCTACTGTCAAGCATATTCTCAGTTATACGAGGGAGAGCGCGTATTATTATATTGTATTAATATTATTAATCCTTAGTAACGTAAACCAATCATTTTTGGGAACATCAAATAATTAATAATAATAGTAAAATATTAATAATAATATTAAAATATTAATAATAATAATAATATTAAAAGTTATGAAAATCGTTTTATATTTCGATTAATGTTGTTAGATTACAAAAGTCCAAAATGGTAACTGTATCTGTTTCCTCGCGGTACCTCTCGTAAACATTTGAACCTGAGTTATCCGAATTGCAGCCTCGATTATCGAGATAACTAGTGGGACGGGATAACTAGTGAACCTCTATTATCGGAACACCTTGGTTATCCGGATTGTCTTGTTCCCCGATATGTTTGGATAAACGAGGTTTTATTGTACATAATTTTATGTTGGTGCATTCCTTATTGATAGTTCTTAGAAAAGTAGCTTAATATTTAGAGACGGTAATATTTTGTTATGGTTGGTATTAAAAAATTATGGTAAAATTATAGTATAATATATATTATTTTATATATTATATATATTATATATATATATATTATTATATTATATTATAATATATATATAATAAAAATTTATGGTAAAGTATTAAAGAATTCACTTACGAGTAAGCCAGGTGGTTTGCAACTCTCAACAAGACCAACTACCAGAATGGTCACGCACAGAATTGCGAAAAATTTCTTCATGGTTGTAGTAATAGCTTCTAATAAAAGAACAGTATGTACTAATAATTCACTTTTGAAATCGTTTTGCAAAAGAATCTTAAGACTGTAACTCACCTTATCTTCACTTGGGTAGAGCTCGTAGGTTTCTGATTTAAATCGGCAGGTGTTGAGTATTTATAAGAACAGCGAACGCATGAAAGATAATAATTTTGCATTTTTCACATAGCTGGACCTTGGGTAACTGATAATATGTCGGTCAGGTAAATACTATCTGGAACGAGCACGTAAACAAATTACGCAAACGATCGTGTTTTGCAGAAATTTAGAAAAATTTCAACCCCCTGTCGATTATCTTGTAGTCATACTAATCTCTATTCAGATAATGGGATTAGCCGTCTGTGAAACGTAGTATAATCTAACAAAATTATGAGAAAACATGTTTGTATAACGAATCTAGTAACAATTACAAAATGCACGATACTGCACGATTAACATTTATGTTTTATTTAAGATCCATTATAAATTTTAATGCGAAAATAACGACTCACTTAACACGTGTATAATGTAACACGTGTAATGTTCAATTTACTTTTGTACACACATTTTCATTTGCACATTTAAAGAAATCCAGTGATTTATAAATATTTACGATTTATAAATTTTAAACAAATCTATAATAATTTTCTATTACTATTAGAAATTTCAATATCAGTACGATCGCGTATTTAAAAATATGTTGTCGAATTCGCGGAACCGAACGCAACAAATCTGCGAACGAAATTTCGAAATCGCGCAACCATGATTCGCGGGAGAACGATAATTTTATTCGGAACAGCCATAGCATCCCTTGCTGAAAGTATACCTACCCATTTGCAATTATCTAGAATCAGTTGCACAAATTTACGCGAATAAGTTTTCGCGTCGCGCACGCGTCGAGAAGCGCGTATAATAATCCGCAATGGGTCATGAATCCACAATATAGTGATTATTAACGATCGTCCTTGATTATCGTTATTTTCGTCGACAAACTGTGAAATTGAATCGGATTCCGTGTAGTGCCCATTTTCGGAAGCGGGCTCCTTTAACGCGTACCGTGACCGGCACTATCGTAATTACTTGCACACATAATCCTCAATAATTCGAGGAAATACCATAATTTCGAATAGGACATCTGGCAAAAGCCTGACAAATGCCATTTTATAGTAACTAAAAAGTTGCGGTTTCGAAATCCAATTATCGACAGAATTAGACACTTTTATCATTTTATAGATTGTGCTTAATTGAACTAGTCGATGTTGGCCTTAAATGTAAAAGTGATATCCAAAATGACACAAAATATTCTTATCTTTCTTGGTGGTAAATGTGGATGTTGAAACAACAATTGAATATTTCACTGAAAGCAACGGAATTATGTCAGATGATCAGACAGGATTTTCATAAAAGTAAACGGTTAGATACTGGAGGGATTCAAAATGTCGCTGCGTGGAAGGGGTAATTGAAAATAAAACTAATGAACAAACAAATTGTTGCACGATTTAAACTAACGTAATTTACCGGCGCCGCGCGGCGTCGGTCGCGGTTCTAAAGGCTTTATGAAATCATCCGCGGGAATCGATATCATTCATATTAGCAAAATTTGATGAGGGTATATATTTGCGTTGTCCAGGGAAATGCAAATATCAAACTATGTTTTATCTTCAAGTGTCGGATACGCATGCTCTTCCCCAAAAATAAACCACGGACCACAATTTTCTGCGCGCGGCTTCAATGAGCTGCTTCAACTGATAATTACATGCGGAAAACGCAAGCGTGTATTTGTTATTATAAAATGTGTGTAACAGGGGCTCCATTGACCGCGAATAATATTTCCCTCTGACTGATAAACACAGCCGATCAAGTGCATCATTGCCTGCAATTTAATACAATGAAGACAGTTGAAACATTTATCGACCGCGGTTTTGATAATCACCAAACAAATGAACGATGAGTCATTTTATTATCGCGATAATTAAATGGTCGTTCCAATTATTTCGCTGCATGCGGAAGTTGATTCGCTTTAAAATATTACTAATGATTATCGATAAGATATCGATTACTAATTATACATGCTCCGACTTTTTGAATGCGCCGCTTTAAGTGTGGATAATGGGATTAATAATAAGCGAAATAAAATACGATTATTTACTTCATCGATAACCTGTCTGCTTGCGCCGTTATTAATGACGACAAATAGATCAATTTTCTCTCAAATACGATGATACATTTTACGAGCATTGCATAATCAATTTACAACTAATTAAATAAGTACCGTTAAGTATCGTTAAAGCTACACGCTAGGTTTTTATTTATTTTCCAATTAACCTTTTGTTTTCCTTCGCTGCCTTCTGTTCTATAACAGTTTACGTTATTCTTTAACAATATTTACATTTCACATTTTAATTTTTCTATTTTATTTACAGTTTCAAATCTTCTGTTGGTAAGGCTTCCTTCCTTAATCGCCTAAATATGTGAAACACTGTTAATTAATGAAACACTGGCGCTAGATTAGCATATTTCTTGAAAAAGTGGCATTGAGATCCTATCAACTTTATGTGAAAAAACCCTGAAAAAAGAACTTAATGCAATTAGCTTGATTACTTATTTCAACGTTTCATTATGCATTAAACATGTTTCAATGTTGCCACGTGTTTGAAAATATCTTTTAGAAGGTGCTATGCAGGGTCAATCTCAAAGTGGGTTTCGAAGAAAGATTAAAGCGACTGAATGATATCTCTTCCAAGAATAATATCACGTGTTTGCTTAGGCTTGCATCGTAAAAGAAATGTTGAGACACGAAACATTTTGTCCATAGCGTAATACAACTAACATCCAACCAACATAATGACAGCGAAATATCTCGTCTTCGGTAACGAGGTGGTTAACGAATAATCATTTTTCATATTCAAATGATTTTGATAATTATTTATCTGTAAAAAAGATTGGAATATATAAGTTTATATGTATAAATAATAATCAATATATAAATATATAAATAATGGAACACATGAACAATATTCACATTAACAAAATGCAAGACCATAGTTGTCGACATTAATATGAAATTTCAATAAAAAGATGAATGCGCTCGTTCATAGCACCTAAAATAGTATGATATGTAGAAATAAGTGTTTGGCAATTAAGTTGAGACGATCAATCCAGCCATTTGAATGAAAATATTTTCCCACTGTTATGCAGTCTTTTAATTCCCTTGTTTTTCCTATCAGAGTATCAGGATATGTACTTGCGAAAATGTTTTAACTAAATTCTTAGAATTATTTTTCGGTAAAATCTAGCTCGAAGTTGACGACAGTTTATGTCAAAGCTTAATAATTTAATCTCTACCAGAGTGGACAAATTATAAAAATTATCTATGTACTGAATTAATCTGGGGAACGTATCTCATACATTAGTCTCAATTAATTCTCCCCCAGAGACTTGTTGCTGATGATGATTAAGTGCTAATATTGCGTGTACCGTAAGCAAATTAATTGAGGTTCTAAGACGATGTCTGCATTAACATTGCATGTCGAGGGTGGTGCGCGCCTTTCTGCACGCACATCCGGTTTGCATTTCCTAGCTAACTGGCATTTTCCGGGACACGTGCTACCTTTGCCCCAAGGAAATGTTTCGCGTGTCACGGAAATTATGTGTACAACTTTTATACACAAAGAAAAAGGGAACATTGTAACTTTCCATGGTGGTTTTCTGATCGGTAACAGCCGATGACCTAAGCTTCATGCAATTGGAATTATCATAGCACTGGATGGTGTTTGTCTTTATTTTTAAAAAAACTGCCGATCCTTGATGATTTAGAAAATTATACAGTCGTGTCGCGAACTTCGTAAACTAGTCTAATTGCATGTTCATACATCGAATCAATTACGTGACAAGTCTTAGATCATACTTACAATTAGACTTACGCATTTATTGTAATTTTTGTGATCAATTTTTAAAAACTTGCAATAGAAAATATTTAAAAAGTTTCGCAGGATTTGTATAACCGATAGAATAATAATAATAACATCTATGAATTCATCTTTATAATTACAATAAATGTGAAGTCAAACATTTGAGCCGGTCATCTCATCAAATGCTAATCAACATTAAGATCATTTTAGTCGAACACTTGGCAACAACAGATTTCAACAATAAACTAAACTACTACCTTTGTTTTCTCACTCTGACCTGATTATGAAGCAATTGATTTAACGTAAACAGATACGAATTTCAAGGAATCCGCGCGAATGTCGACCGCGAACTCTTGAAAAATAACACGCCGCGGATAATCACATCTTCCGTCAAGTGGCCAAGATCATCTTGTTGTCTTTCGAACGGCGTTGCTATCGAGCGTCTCAAGTGTTTACCGTGAGTACCTTCACGGCTCTCCTTATCGACCGATCACCTTATCTGACTGCGAAATACTCCCTAGGGTTCGCGTGCTTCCCAGTCATTTAAGTGATAAATTTTCGCCGGCGACGTCGAGCTGTCTTTAGCGGTTTTGCCCCGCAGGATCTATTGCTCTTTTAGTTAGCGATCCAACGGCACTTAGCTTCGCCCATCGTCTCTTACGGGTGTCTCAGCGTCCGGGATGCTTCGAAATTGTAGGTAGAAACATACTCATCGGCATCAAAGCGGCCAAACAATTCCAAAGGATTTAATTGGCTCTTTTCTTCTTTTAACGTTGACTGAATCACATTGTCGAATAAGATGGAAAACACGTAGCTTTGAATGAACGAAAAACTACAATTCAAGGTAGAAACAAAATCCCACGTAAGTGTTTCCTATCATTTCGTTTACGTTCAAAATATATTCCACCAATTTTAAATTGGATACTTTTAGTGAAACTTCTTTTTTTTTTTAAATGAACCGTACCAATTAATTTCTATTTTTTCCTTTTGTATTTGATTATATTCATTTTTGTTCGTTACTCTGCGTAGTCCTTATATTTAACGGTGTTCTGTTGCTTGAAATAAAGTTTTATTTTACTCCGATGTTTACCAATAATCGATAAAACTTGAGGTGAGACATTGCATTATTAGAACGATCACTGTTTTAACCATAAAGTGTTACCGAAGATATACAATGGCCCACAAAAGTGTTCATACACCTTTAAAAACGAAATAACTTTTTCAAAACTAAACTATTTTTAAATAACTTTTTCTAACTGACTTGAATTTTTTTTAGATAACGGGACTAGTCTACTAGACGATGACCAAAATGATTTTCTTGAATTTTGCTATTACTTGGAATGACGAAAAAAAAGATAAAAACTTTTGTTTTTTAACTTTTTTATCTGAGCGTATAACGTAAATTTAAAAAATGCCTCTCCTAGATCTTGGTAACTTATATGTATGCTGAAAACTTTAACGAAATCAGTTGACGTTGTTATGAGTTATAGTAAATTAAAGATGACAAAAATCGCAGTTTTATCACGATTTTCACCGAAAACTGTAAGAAATTGCAGTTTTTATAATCTTTCAACGCCTGTAGCTCGACTCTGGGTTAACCGATTTCGATCAAATTTTCAGCACGCATATAAGTTACCGAGATCTACGAAAGGCAGTTTAAAATTTTTTATAGGCTCAGATAAAAACGTTAAAAAACAAGAGTTTCTTATTTTTTTCTATCGTTCTAAGTAATAGCAAAATTTAAAAAAGACATATTACTCATCGCCTAGTAGACCAGTCCCTTTATCATTAAAAAAAAATTTAAGTCACTTAGACCAGTTTTGAAGAAGGTGTATGAACCCTTTTGTGAGCCACTGTAATTTCAGGCACCAAGTAATATCGAATAAAATACATTTATACAGGCATGATTGAAATTTTCACGTATATTTTTCCTTTCATAATGTTTAGATTGCAGATGTTCATGCAAAAGAAGCTGCACCGATAGCAAGAAGCGGTAGTCAAATAAAAATTATTTTAACCAGTTGAAAATAATACGTATTTCTAAATTGCTGTGATTTTAAATTGCACCTACACATTTTTGTACAAAATGCATAAAATCCGCAGACTAGAAACGGCGCTTAGCAGATTAAGTTATATTTTATAAATAAAATAAAAGATAAAAAAAGATAAAATAGGATAAAATAAAATTCTCAAAATTCTAACAATAAATTTGTTAAAATCAGCACGCGAGTCGTTTCGGTTCCTTTTCCTCATTTTGCGTGTAGTTTGCCGCGGTCCTTGTTCCTGTTTTGATCGGGGCTTTGTCGGGCTTGTCTTCGCCTTGATTTTCCAGACTGTCACCCCCGCGCTGCGCCCCTATTGAAGCAGTATCGCCGGACGCCTCTCGTTCTGCTTCGAATTCCTGGTCGTCCCTCTCTTTCTTCGACACTCCGGTCGGTTCTCTTGACTCGGCTGAAGTGGCGGACAATTTGATAATTGGATCTGCGGCAACGCCGTGATTTACGTGTACGAGGGTCCAGCTGACCATTCGAGCGAGGAGCACACGATGCATCCAACCCTCGAGTGGCAAAGTGGAGACGATCGCCGCTCGAGAGACGCATCTTCTCCCGCGAATTAACTAAAACTATGTTGCTAGGACGGCTAGACGGTGTTTTACGGTCCCACGCAATTCCGATGATAGAGCGAGTTACCCGTGGCACATGTGTCGCACGATCGACGCGGGCTTTGTTCACCGAACATCATTATACAATATAATTCGAGCGGCGGTATATCAAAATTGAAATTTTTGCGGGCCTTCGACCGAGCCCTCTACTGCGAAACTTCGTGAAGCCGAGGTAAAAACAACTTTCGCAATCCAATCATTCATTTTTTCAAGTCTCCGCGGCAGTGTGTATGCAAAGAGAGATCAAAATTTGCACACATAGAAGCGTAGCAAGTCGATACAGACGCAATGTGTCAGACACAGAATGATTGATAATTTTATTATACAAATTTTAGTTCATTTTATACTATTTTTAACGAGCCTTTTAAAAAATCGGCAAATGTTTAAACAAAGTCCTGCTTGATTTATCAAAATTCTCGAAGTGTGCATCTCAACAAATAATGATTCAATTCAACTAAAATTTCTGCTGCTCTCTCTTGCGAAAAGAATTATTTTTTTGCGATAGATTATACAATTCAAAATAGCCTTCCGACTATTGAAGCGCGGCCTTTCTTGTGCACGAGTCATTCCTGACTCACTCTGATAATACATATTTGCGGTCTCCCCACTTTTGCTCGTCGTGACTCCGGTACAGCAGACGGAGGGATAAAGCATTACCTTCTTAAAAGCCTGTCTAATTTGTGCCATGAGTTATCAGCAAACGTTATCATTATCTGTAACAGTGAAACGAACAAGCCGAGAACACTGTATTTTAACCGTTTGAGTCCCAAGCAGTGCGATCGCGCTGTTCAGATCTTGTGTCGCGATCAAACTTACATCGCAAAGCTGCTTTTTCCATTTTTTTTTCTTTTTGTTTTGTTTGTCAATCTTGACAAGCGCTATCGCGCCGCTTGGTTCTCCTCGCAATCAATTAAGACAAGCGATATTACGCTGTTCGCCACTTTTCGACCGTGTTTTCTGAATAACCCCTGGAACTCAAACGGTTTAGAATTAGTTAACGATACTTGGTTTCAGAAAGAATAAGCAAATAATTGCTTCTCCAAACAAAACTAATACTAAAGAGAACAAAGATTACAAAACTAATACTAAAGTGTTAGCTTATTAAAGTATTAATGATTTAAGAATAATTGTTCCTCCAAAGTATTAGTTTATTAAAGTATTAGTTATTGAAAAATAATTGTTCTTTAAAAGACCTCTCGTAACATCTGGTGTTTCACCAAATCATCCACCAAAGCGAATAATTGCTTCCCTAAACAAAACTAATACTAAAGAGAACAAATACTACAAAACTAACACTAAAGTGTTAGCTTATTAAAGTATCAATGATTTAAGAATAATTGTTCCTCCAAAGTATTAGTTTATTAAAGTATTAGTTATTGAAAAATAATTGCTCTTTAAAAGACTTCTCGTAACATCTGGTGTTTCACCAAATCCTCCAAAGGTTTCACCTAGCGAAAGTAGAATAGTGAAGCCACGAACAGCCGCGTTGCTATTTCTCATTCAAGCATCGCGGCGGCCCATTAAGAATTATGCATTTCACACACCCGATTTAATAATTAACGCGTGCACACGGCATTAGCAGCATTACGTTTTTCACGAAGCCAAACAATTTTCGCAAACAATGTTATCGCTCACTGCTCGAAACAATGAAGGTGTTTGAGCTGAACGGGCCGCAGGAGGTAGACTTTGCGTACGAGCGAGCATAATCAGATACAAATAACGCCAACGAGGTAATCAAATGAGACGAGCGAAGCGCAAAACGGGTCGGAATCGACGGGACAAAACGTGAAGGAAATTGCAGGATAATTTCGCGCGCGGTCCCTGACATCGATAATAAGAGTTCGATTATCGTGCGGGGTCGAGGGGACAGGGGAGTTGGGATCTCATGGAACGTAAAAGGACCGACACGAAAATTCCCCGCGGCTCGATGGCGAGCCTCCGGATGGGCTGTTCGCGTTGAATCAAATCCACGTCGCAAGAAGAAGGCGACGACCCGTAAAATGAAACGACGAAGCGGCAGAAAGAACCTCGTAAAGCTTCCCTCCCCGGTGGGCGAAAGCTGCCGACACGCTCCCGCTCTCTTTTTCCCTTTCTTCCACGTCCCGACAAGTTGCGCTCCAAGTACGTACATCGTATCGCGCCAACCATAAAAGAGAAACACGAAAAACGTGCCGGCCGAGGAATAAACTTCCTGGTAGTTGTTCCCTCGTTTATTCGGAAGTGGACCGGTCGGGCTCAGATGCTCGCGGTGGACTTCCCTCGCGGATATCGCCGTCTGAATCTTCATGTCTCGGACATCTTTGCCAGATCGATTCCTCTCTGACAGTTTCCGGTTGTTTCAGACGGATCCCTGCTAATTGGTCTTTCACAAAGACCAATTGCGGCCGCGACAAAGTGGTGCGAAGCAGAGATTCGTGGAAGCCTTTAATTCTTAACACTTTGACGGCCGGAGTCGCGTACGCATGACTTCGCGAAAATTTGAATTATAAAAATCGATTCAGCGCGGTTTTTACAAAAAACGCTTCATAATTATATTATTGTCAAAATTCATCCTATTTATTTATTTATTTATTTATTTATCTATTAACGCTTTAAACCAGACGGTTTAAA